AACATCAACAAAGAGCATGAAGACTCCCTGGTCATTTCATTGATGGTTGGGAATTGTCTGCTTAAAAGGGTGATGGTCGATGGAGGAAGCTCCGCAAATGTTCTATTTTGGAAGACCATGGAAGAAATGGGGCTAAAAGATAGCAACATCACTAAAAGGTCAATAATGTTGTTCGATTTTAGTGGCGAGACGATGTCAACTCTCGGAGACATAACCCTACCCACCTATGCTGGCGGCCTGAACCCTCAAACCAAATTTAACGTCGTCGTAGACTGCCCCTCAGCCTATAATGCCATCATAGGCAGACCCTAGATTCACAAACTAAAAGCCATTCCCTCCACCTATCATCAAACTCTCAAATTTCCAACCCCCTAGGGAATCCAAGAGATCAAAGGAGAACCCCACGAAGCCAAAAACTGCTACAAAACAACCTTGAAACCATGCATGAGATCCACTTAGCAATTACAGCAAGGCCCGACACCAGATAATCCCAACGACCTAGATATCGACGAAGTACCCCTGGACCCTGAAAAACAAGATCAAACTGTTCGTGTCGGAGCCAACCAAACACCCGAACTCAAAAATACCATCCGAGCCTTTCTCCGAGAGAATAAAGATTGTTTCGCCTAGTCGTATGAAGATATGACGGGCATAGATCCAAGCGTCATCTCGCTCAAGTTAAATGTTGATCCAAATCACAAGCTCGAAGTAGAAGCGTCGAAAGTTCGCCCCAAAAAGAAATAAAATTATCAACGATGAAGTGCAGCAGCTGATCGACACGGGGAAAATAAGAGAAGTGAAATATCCAGATTGGCTCGTAAATGTCGTCGTCGTCAGCAAGAAGAATCGCAAATGGAGAGTATGCATCGACTTCACCAATCTCAATAAAGCATGCCCCAAAGATCCGTTCCCGTTTCCGCACATCGACGCCATGGTAGACGCAACAGTAGGTCACGAGCTCCTGACGTTCATGGAAGCCTACTCTAGATACAATCAAATTCTCATGCATCCCGACGATCAAGAAAAAACAGTCTTCATGACATATAGAGGTATATATATTGTTATAGTTATGCCTTTTGGTCTAAAGAATGTAAGTTCGACTTATCAGAGAATTGTCAACAAAATGTTCAAAGATCAGTTGGGCAACACAATGGAGGGGTACATTGACGACATGTTGGTAAAATCCAAGAAATTCGAAGATCATGTCGATCACCTTCGCCAGTCATTTGAGGTTTTGCGAAAGTATGGTATGAAACTTAACCCTACTAAATGTTCTTTTGGAGTATCTGCTGGTAAATTTCTTGGTTATGTCGCAATGCAAAGGGGAATTGAATCTAGTCCTGGCCAAGTCAGGGCCTTAATAAATATCCAATCCCCCCGAAACGTTAAAGAGACTCAGAAATTGACAGGAAGAGTGGCAGCGTTAAATCGCTTTATCTCTCGATCGTCGAAAAAATGCCATCTTTTTTATAATGTTTTACGAAAAAATAAAGGCTTTGAGTGGACCAACGATCACGAGAAAGCATTGCAGGATCTAAAAGCATATTTAATGACGCCACCACTCCTGTCGAAACCAAAGCCTAACGAATCTTTGCAGCTATATATTGCCGTCAGTGCTGTCCTGACAAGGGAAGACGACGATGCCGGGCAATTACCTGTTTACTATGTAAGTAAAAAATTATTCCCAGCCGAGGTAAGGTGTTCATCTCTTGAAAAACTTGTTCTTGCTTTAGTTACTTCTGTTAAGAAATTAAGGCATTACTTTGAAACCCACCACATAGCGGTGATGACTAATTACCCTATCAATTCTGTTTTGAGCAAACCAGAGTTAATAGGACAAATGGGCAAATGGAGCATCTCGCTGAGCACATTCGACATTGAGTACCAACCTCAAAGAACAATAAAGTCACAATCATTGGCTGATTTTGTGGCTGACTTTAGCCCCGATCTGCAAGCCACAACTGACAAGGAAGTGTAAGACATAAACAACGTTGACAAAGAAAGTAAATGGATCCTGTTCGTCGACAGATCATCTAATCAACGTGGAGATGGCCTAGGAATGGTGCTAAAGTCGCCACAAGGGGACATGATAGTGCGATCTATATCTTGCGATTTCAAAGCAACGAGCAACGAAGCAAATACGAAGCACTAATTGCAGGAATGATCGTCACCAAAGATCTGGGGGCAACAACCTTAGACGTATACAGTGACTCCCTCCTCATCGTCAGCCAGATGACAGGAGACTTTATAGCAAAAGACTCCAAAATGACAACCTACCTCAAAGTAGCCAAAGAAAAAGCTAAACACTTTAACCCTTTCACAATCCTACAAATCCTAAGAGACCAAAATTCCCAAGCCGACACACTTGCAAACTTCGCCTCCACACTCAAAAAGACTACCTTCACATCAATTCCCTTAGTCCACTTACAAAAACCATCCGTATCCACAAAAGCAATCCTGCCCGTTGACGATGTCGACGAAGACAACAACTGGACCAAACCCCTTATAATGGTTTTTTTCAACATATACCTCTGAGTTTTTTGTTATTCACCATATACCCGTGAACTTTTTTAAATTCATCGTACCCCCGAGTTTTCACAAAAATACATCATATACCCTTGATGACTAATGATTGTTAACCTCGTCAGTCATTAGGGTTAATTATGACCCAAAACCACCCTAAATACATTCCCCTACCCTCGAAACCACCCACATTCCTTTTTCCCACCCCCAAAACCACCACAAATTTCCTTTTCTCATCCTCAAAATCAATCATACAGATATGGTTATGGAGAGTTGGAATGGTTTCGGGGTTGAAAAAAAGAGAGGAGTGGTTTTGGAGATGGGGGGGAGAGATCTAAGGTGGTTTTGATGCATAACTAACCAAATTCCACTCATCTTGTTGTCATTAAGGGTATATGGTGAATTTTTGTAATAACTTAGGGGTATATGGTGAATTTGAAAATTTTCAGGGGTATATATTGAATAAACAAAAAACTCATGGGTATATGGTGAAAAAACCGCCTTATAAATTACCTCACCAACAATACCCTTCCCGGCGACAAAACAAAAGCCCGAAAACTGAGATACAAAGCTTCCTGATATCACGTCACTGACGGAGTCCTATTCCATAAGTTCGCGTCGGGACTATCACAAAGATGCATCCAAAGCCATGAGCAACAATTTATCCTCAACCATTTGCACAACGGCATGTGCAGCTGTCATGTCGGGGGCAGAGGACTAGCCACACCCGCTAAAAGACAAGGATATTTTTTGCCAACACTCCATGAAGACACCATCCAGTACGTTGCCAAAATGTGATAGCTGTCAACGATTCGCCAATATGGTTCACAAACCGTCGGAATCCTTGCACCAAACCTTGTCTCCATGGCCTTTCATGAGAAGGGGAATGGACATCGTCGGAAAGCTACCTGCCGCACTAGGACAAAGAGTTTACATGCTAGCACTAACAGATTATTTCTCTAAGTGGATCGAGGCAATTGCCTTGAAGCGGGTGATGGACAGAGAAGTTATTTCGTTCTTATGGACTAACATTATTTGCAGGTTTGGCATTCCGTTGGTGATACTCTGTGACAACGGGTCACAGTTTATTAGTGACAAAACTCGTTCATTTTGCAGGAAATTCCGAATATAGCTAAGGACATCGACACCATGATATCCTCAAGCTAACGGACAGGTAGAATCCAGCAACAAGGTCGTCATCAACGCCATTAAGAAAAGGTTAAAAGCAGCAAAGGGCAGGTGGGCCGACGAGCTCCCAGCCGTTCTATGGGCTAATAGGACAACTCCAAGGTCTGTGACAGGACAAACGCCTTTCTCCCTTGTCTACGGATGCGAAGCCGTCCTCCAAGTAAAAGTCGATTTCCCAATGTCCCGATTTGGCTTGATGATGGAAGAAACAAATCAAGAAAAAATGGAAAACAACTTAGGCGCAGTCATAGAGATGCGTGAAGCAGCCCTAATCAGGATGGCAGCACAACAGCAAATCGGCGCCTGAAGCTTCAACAAAAATGTCAAAGCGAAGATGTTCTAGCTAGGCGAATAGGTGCTAAGGAAAGCGTTTCAGAATACAAAAGACCCTGCCGATGGAAAGCTGGCCTTTCCATGGGAAGGCCCGTAGCAGATCACCCAAGTCATTGGCAATGGCGCTTATCGATTATTCAACAAGGAAGGTAAACTTGTTCCAAGAAGTTGGAACGCAACTCATCTCCGAAATTATTACCTTTAGAGTATCAAAAAGTGTTCGTCGACGACAAGGTAACACCTCCGATCTCACATTTGATTTACTTACATTGGATTATTTATTTTCACTACAAGTTCTGACTTAAGCATCGGAGGGCTGTTGGCCGAGCTAACGGCCAACAGTATTCTAACCATGTTGGTTTTGCAGTACAGCGATCGACGAAACACAAATACCGTGAGCCAACGACGAACAATGAAAAGACAATGGACGTCGGCTACACTAACATCCTTCAAAGGGATTAGGAAAGTCGCTGATCAAAGGAAAACATTGTGATGAAATAAAGCCCGGGCAAATCTGACCTTAGCATCCGACGCCAAACACCCGAAACCTGAACTACGAACTTAGCCTTCAGTGTTCAGCGTCGACGCTAGGGCAAAAGGGGCATTGGCAAACAATGAAGGCCAAACTCGAGTATACATATGCTACATAGAGAGCCTTCGACGAATACATTGTACAATGACAAATTACTGAATAAAAAATTACCAAGTTTTATACTTCTTGTTCTTTACATTGGTTAATTTACTTTTACTTTAAGAATTCTATCAAATACTTTATCAAATGTTCGCTCTTTTCAGCATCCTAATTTTTACTCAATTTTTCTCATTCAACTAAATTTCGCATAAGTGTTCTTTTCGTTTTTCTCTTCCTTAAAAGTTTTGTTCAAATTGATCTTATGCCTTATATTGCATACTACTCGCAGATCAAAGCTATAAAGTATACAAACGATAACAACATATGAAACAAAGAGAAAACATCATTTGTAAAGCTACGACAAAGGTCATGACAATATTCAAAAGAACCACTTGCCATCAAGTGGAACAAAAGGCAACAATATATGAACAAAAGTATTTGAAAAACTACGACAAAATCATCCAAGTAAAAAAAATAAAAAAAAATGAACCAAAGTACCAAAGTACGAGACGAATGCGGAAAAACACAGCAAAAGAAATCAAAACCATCACAAGTGATGGCCCTTAAGCATCAGCATCGCCATCAACATTCACTCTTCGACGACGTCCTTCATGATCTCGTCAACAGGAGCATTGTCTCCGACGCCTTCACCAACGGCCAGTTGCGGCACAGCCTCGTCAACGATAAGAGGAGCAACGTTCGACGGGGTGAGGTTTCGACTCTGCAGTCGAAATAATTGCAGCATCTATCTTCTCCCAGCTCGGCAAGAGTCCCTTCATTGGCCAAGAAACGATCAATATCTTCTTGCGGACGCCACTCTGTAGCCTTCCCATCCAGGTAGTCCTTCATTAGCTGAGCCCTAAGCTTGATCTCCAGTTCAACACTCACATCTTAAGCGTCATCCAAGTCCTTTTGAACTGTCGATAGTTGTTCCTTCACCTTCAACAAAGCTTCCTCTTGATCCTGTATAACCACAGCCTTATCCTCCAATTGCTGGGCTTGTTCCTTCAATTGCTTGGCCTGATCCTTCAGCTGTTGGGCTTGTTCCTCCATTTTTTTTGTTTGCTCCTCTAGTTGACTTTCCAGTTCGTCCACCTTCTTAGCCGCATAGTCAAATTGCTTCTTCACAGTCACAAACTGCCTCATCGCAGTCGACACCTTGGCCTCACTATTCTTTGCAACATCATCCAGCCTCCTCATCTCTTTAGCCAACTGAATCACCCTCTCCCTCAAAACCAAAGAGTTTTGCAAACACTGTCCAAATCACACAAGTCCCAAATCACAACTAAATATACATCGCCAGCGAAAATGCAATTAAGAGAAAGAAACTTACATAGAGATGAACGAAAGAAGACTTTGGCGCAATATCCAAGGTGGAAGTCCCAACCAATCCTTCTCGAGAGCTAGGAAATAACAGCTGATTCAGATGTGGGAACAAAGGTTGGCGAGTCTCCTTAGTAAGACTTAGGAAATCGGTAGGAAAATGCATCTCTAAGTCTTGAGGCACTGGAGCGTCGTCCGTTTTCTGTTGTTTATGGGGAGGAGACGACGACACATGGACCAGGACAGATGCATCGCCAACTTTCTCCGGCGACAGCAAAGTATGAAGCTGCTCCGTCCTGTCCACCGCCGACGACAGTGTCGCCTCCTGTGGAGCTAACCCGTGCTTCCTCCTCATTCGTGCATCTTTCTCGGCCTGGGGTACGTTTCGTCCTCGACAACCACCCTGCGCTGCAGACTCCGACGGATCTGAATACACCAAGTAACACATGAACAATGGATAACGACATCGACAATCAAAACGACGAAATGACAAATGACTTACATGTAGACATAGTTTCCTCTAAATCCTCGACTCTTTGGGGGGTTCTTGGTAATTCTCTTATCCTTTGACCTGACAATTCACCTAGAGTGTGTCTCGTCCTCTTCGCGTGCCCTGCTTCTAGTATCCTCTTTATCTTCGACGACGATCTCTCCGTTGGCTTGAGAAAGTCGAGATTAAGATCTGCGCAATCAGAACAAAGATCAAACATTCAGAAAACAATAGTTCTAAATATTAAACACAAAGAAAAAATGCTTACCCTTTTCAGGCCACCCTTCCGTCAGTACCTAGTGACGTCTTCTCGACGAAAACGAAGTACTGAGCCCAACCCCTGTCATTACACTCAGTGTTCAAAACCAATTGTTCCTCCTCCTTATGTACACTCACAAAACGATCCTTCTTCATCTTTATATCATAAGCTTCAATTAAATCCTCGTAAGTAAAGGGATATTCCCAATCTTTAGTAATTTCCTCCAAAACTGACAAAATCCTCCAACCAGACGGCATTAATTGCCCAGGGCTTAACCCCAGCACATCGAAGAAAGATTTGGTTAGAGGCTTGAAGGGAAATTCAACCCCTGTCTCCAAGAACGGGTATCTAAAGAATACAACAAAACCCTTTAGGACAATTCTCCACCTTCTAACCTTTGCCCGGAACAAGGGCGAAAGCGGTCTCAGGAAACCCCGCCATTTTCATAAAACCCGCCATCATGCATGGTGTCATCAACGACTCCGCCTTAGTCATTGTTTTCTTTTTTGAAACAACCGTTCCTCTCTTCTCAACAACTCGAATTGAAAACCTAGACCTAGCTTCAAAAATTCTACTTGACATTCGCCGAAATTAACTAAGTAAACAGATAATTGAAGTAATTACATGTCGATTGAAGTTATTAAAAGCTTGAATAAAGAATCGCCGCTCTCTGCCGCTTTAAATTCTCCTGAAAATTTCCTGCGCAAGAGAGAGAAAAAAAAAGAGAGAAAGGGGAAAGAGGAGAAAGCAGTAATTTTGGGAAGCGAGAAGCGTGTAGCAGTAATAAAGATGCGAAGTGACGGTTATTAAATTACTGGGAAGTTGGAGTAACTTCTTTAACTAGTGCGCCAAGTTGAAGGACGATTATGCCCTCGAATAATCAGTTTTTAATTTTTTTGTTTTTCTTTTCAATTTATTTTATTTCTGTTGTTTTAATTGTTGAACATGTACATAGCTACCCATATGAAGCAATTAGGGGAAAATTGTTATGGGTAATGATAGGTCTTATTTTGCACATGTTTTAGGTGGGTATCTAAGCTCATTTGATTACAAAATTAGAGATCTTTGGTGCATATTTGCATTATTTGCTTAAGTTGTGCTCTACTACTCTTCGTTTGTGTGTTTTGATGAATTTCAGGTGATTTATATGCAAATGGAGTATGGTTGGCTAATCTTGAGTATAATAATCATGGAGTATGAAAACATATTGCTTAATAATATCAAAACATGTGTTCGAGACGAACTTGAGTGAGAATGAAGCAAAACGTTGATGAAATACTTGACAAATATGACACCTGTTCACTATTATGCTCATAACTTTGTATATACAAATAATAATGGCGTGATTCAAATTGAATTGGAAAGTAGACTTGAAGACCTTTCCAACGATATATTACACGCCTCAAACGAAGCTCCGGATATGAAGTTATGACTGATTTAAGATGAGTGATACGCGCAGCAGAGTAGGCACGTCCGTGCCTGGAAGTCAGTAGCCACTGCAGTTTATGCACACATAGAGGCACGTCCGTGCTCTTGGAGTTCTTGTGCGCCAAGAAAAGATGTTTATCTTTTTATCTTCCTAGGCCTATATATACATTAAGTAGTGTTTTATTATGAATTAAGTTTTATTTTATTCTCTAATTCACATTATTAAAAACTAGTTCTCTCTATTTTATTTTCTTTACTTTTGTAATTCAAGATTCAAGATTTATACTTTCCACCTTCAATTTAATTCAAGATTCGGTATTTTCTTTTTTAATCTCTTGTTTCTTAATTATGTTTTCTTTAATTATTTTTGTTATTGTTTATTTCATTATGAGTGAGTAGATTTCCTATTCCAAGATCTAGGGTAGCCCAATTATAATTGATGCATGAATTAAATCTTTAAATCCTCTAATAATTATTGCAATTGCTTATGCTAAATTGATTGTGATTATGTCAATGCTAGATTAGACGTAATTTTAGTATTGCGATTATTCCATTGTTTCTATCACAACGAGAGTTGGGTTTAAACGGATTTGAGTAAATCAATTTAGGGTTTGATATTCAACACGAGAGTAGTTGGGTTTGATAATTGGGAAGTTAGAGTAATGTGTTCAATGTCTCTAATATGCATGATACCATGAGAATAGGCTTGATTGTATGTTAGGGAAGCCATTGATACTCGAGAGAGGTCTTTGGTATTTATTTGGGTTTACTTTTCCCCGTTAAATTGGAATTGTATGTTAGGGGTAGAAATATAATTGCATCATTCATAATTGTGGTGATACTTGATCTTGGATGTTTTAATTACTTGATTTCTTCATATTCTTTAGTTTATTTTCGTATTTTCCATATATTAGTTCCTTAGTTAATCGATCATTATTGATTCTTGCTTAGTAGGAATTTGAGTCTATTTAATTATTTTTGAACCTTAGTCTCTTGGGACTCGACCCTTACTTTCCGGTCTACATATTAGTGGTTAGTTAGGTTATTTTTGTTAGGTACGCGACACGCCTACCAGGTAAATTTTAGTAAGTCAAAATCAACGGAAGTCAACAAGGATCTACGACGAAGAGTGAACATCGACAACTAGCCCAGACTCGACGGACGAAGCGGAGATAACAACTCCCCTATTTTCTAGGAAGAGATAAGCTTGAAGTATTAGGTTTCCCACCAGTAGAATCAAACCGTTATTAGGCTAAGAGAAATGCCATGTGATTAGGGGATTTTGCTCCTCCCAATCGGAATGCGCCACGTGGACCAATCAGGTCCTGCCAAGTGTCCCCTAGTTGGAACTGTCAGGGCTTGCCACGTGGCACGCGCTTATTCGTCCACCTTGGACCTGTTATGTCACGACATGTGGCATACTCCATGCCTAATGGAGAAACCGGCCACCCAGGCCCAATTTCCGAGGGAAGCCCAATCGGCCCTAGGTTTACCTAAACCTAGGATGGGCACGTTTCCCAAGGTTATAAATACCTCCCTTAGTCCTCATTAAGGGGAAGGAGAAGAAGTTTACGAAAAACATTACGGAACAAACACATTAATTACACACAGTAATAACCGGCTGATCTCGCCAACAAAGAAGATTACCTACGCTAATCACTCTCACCTAGAGAGACCTAATCACTTTAATTTCCGTATTAATTACTCCTTAATCAGTTACTAACTTGACCGTTGGAGGCGGAGCTCACAGGAGTCTCCGTTATTTTGCAGGTACAGGCGTCCGGTTCCAGTCTCGGAATTGTAACTCTCCCGCAGGACATCAGAAAACCCCGAAACATTTGGCGCCGTCTGTGGGGAGAGTACTTCAGAGATGGCATCCAAGTCTGTACCGACTCCTGAAGAGAGGCGTCCCCTAGACGACCCTCAAGTTCAGTCGGACCATGACACCGAAAGTGAATTTGAAGTTGAAACTCATACAGCTTCAGACGGGACCCTAAGGGCCCGACGTACCCGTCATACCGAAAGGAGGGAACGGGAGCATCTTCAAACAGGAAGCGAGCCAGCAGGCGCACCGCCTGTTCGGCAACAGCCGACTGATGGGTCTGCTCCCATCACAAGGAACGAACTCATGACCTTCATGAGGGACTTCAAGGGAGAGATTCAAGAGTTGATCAACAAGAAGTCGACTGCTCCAGTCAAGGAGTGGAGCAGTCGGCCAAGAAACCCTCCACTTCACTAAAGAGGAAGCCAGTTCAAGGGCGAGAGGCGACTCCTCATCCTAAATCTAGGAAGCGGGAGCCACCTGCCCTTGATTTCACAAAATTCCGTTATCCTACAGGAAATAGGAAACTGGTTCGTCATATTCAGGCGGACGGGTCGAAGCAAACATTCACAGATGCTCGGCTACTGCTAGAGCAGAAGAAGAGTGACCGATTGTCAGAGTCGGCCTCTACTTCAAACTTTCAAGACAGTTTGCGAAATGCCTCGATGAGGCATACTCAGTCGTACCATGAGAGTCAGTCAGGCGGCACCTCCCGTCAGTCCGGCTTTCATAGTGCCCAGGCGGTACCAAACTTATCATTTGTGCCGCAACAACAGTATTTTTTGCAGCCACCTCCATTTGGTGGACCTGCAGCAAAAAACGTCCAACCTATGGACTGGCAGCTACGGTTGCTTAGACTTGGTGAACAGCCGTCGGCCTTCTCCAAGGAAATTACTGAAGCCGCTCAGCCGGCCAAAGTGAAAAATGTACTAGTAGGCGCCTATGACGGCACTACTAACCCAGAAGACCATCTGATGGCATTCACCAACCTGATGTACCTTCAAGGGTTGGATGATCCCATCTGGTGCAAGTGTTTCCCAGCGACTCTCAAAGGAATCGCACAGCAATGGTTCGGCAACCTGCCGACTGGTTGTGTAAATAGCTTCAGGACGCTTGCTTACTTATTTGCCTCCAACTTCGCCATGAACATCCCTGCGAAGAAAACGACCCTTGATTTGGGAACAATTCAGCAGGGCGAGAAGGAGGGGCTTCGTTCTTACATTAGGCGGTTTAACCTGATGAGAATACAGATTCAAGGGTTACCGGATGAGCTAGCTTATACCGACTTTTTCAGAGGTCTCAAAGACGGGTCTACCTTCAAATTTGATTTGGTTCGAAAAAGGGTGGCGACTCTTCAAGAGGCCTTGATTGAAGCAGAAGCCTATATACAGGCGACTGATCTTTGTACGATAAAACAGTCGGACGGGAAAAGGTTCGACAAAAGAGAAGGACGACAGAAACAGTCGTCTAACAAAGATGAGAAAAGAAATGAGGTCTGGGCGGCTGATTCCTCTAAACAGCCGGCCCAGAAAAAGAAAAAAGAATTCAAACCATACTCCCCAAAGTATGCGTTTAACAAGGATAACCAGTTTATCCTAAAAGAAATCAAGGGACGGATCTCAATTGAGAAGTCGGTCCCCATGAAGGGTTCTGCAAACAACCGGAACCAAGATAAAATCTGTGCTTATCATGATGACGTTGGTCATCACACCAATGACTGCATCAGTCTTATGCGGTACCTAGACTTCCTGGCTGAGCAAGGTGATCTTGACACTTATGTCAAGAAATCTACGGGGAACACTTCCTCAAAAAAGCAGTCGGCCAAAAAGAATCAACAGGCTGACAGCTCCGATACAGATGATGCAGTCGTCTACACCATTGCAGGCGGCTTCTCAGGAGGCGGCCCCACTATTAGGGGCAACAAAGATAATATAAGGCGGTTAGATGTAAATTCCGTTCACCAAGAACGGCCGTCCAAATATACATTTCCTGAGATTGTCATCACTGAAGAAGATCTAGGAGGGGTAAGGGGGCCGCATGACGACCCTCTCGTTATTGAATGTAAAGTGGCCAACCAGAGAGTTGGCCGAATCCTCATAGATACCGGGAGCTCCTCAGATCTCATCAGTAGCAAATGTCTGTCGAAACTGAAATATCAGACTGATTGCATACATCCGGCCTCCCACCCTTTAGTAGGGTTTGGAGGAGGAGTCGTCCACCCACTGGGACGAGTGGATTTACCCATTCGCCTGGGCGAAAAAGGGGAAGGACGACACATGGTAGTCCGGTTCCTAGTAGTAGAGGAACTCTCGGCCTACAACATGATTCTGGGTCGACCAACCCTGAATAATTCCAAGGCTGTTATAATCCCGTCTCTTATGTTGCTCAAGTTTGAGAGGGATAATGGAACAGTCGGCTCCCTAAGGGGAGATCAGAGGATGGCCCGAGAGTGCTATCTCTCGGATGTCAAGCCCACTGTTATGGCCACTGGGTCAAGTGGTGAAAAAACAAACCTTGACAATGTCAAGGAGGGTGCGCCTGTTCAAGAGGCAGGCGGCAAAAAGAGAAAGGCGTCCCAGACAGAGGCCGCAAGAAAAGCAAGAAAATAGCAATCATTGGCAGAGGAGCGGCCGGATGAGTTCCGCCCTCAGCCGGCTGGTGAGCATGCGGACCTGATCTTTGACGACTCACGTCCTGACCGAACAGTCAAAGTTGGGACGACTGCTCTGAGAAACCTTGGTGACGACTTTCACAACCTATTGAAAGAATACAAGGACATCTTTGCATTCGAAGT